CGTTCATTTTTACCATTAAAATATTTCATTCTAAAGGTAATAAGTCCTGGATTCCAGTAACGCTACTGGCTGGAAATGTTAAAGTATTAAAGTGAGGCGCCTATAAAGGGTTAAAGGAGTTTCTGTGTGAAGAAGATCTTTGATGCAGTTAAACATCTCAGCTCCTCTAGACGGACTCGTCCATCTTCCTCCTGACTAATGATCCTCAGACAGGAAGTCGTTGTGCTGGGCTCAGAGCTGTGGCTAACGCTCAGCGTTGGTCACGCTCTCCTCCCTCCCTCCAGGAACTCCTTCATAGACATCCTGCGGGCCATCCTGCTGTCTCTGGAGGTCCTGATAGAAAACCCGGAGCTGCAGATCAACGGCTTCACGCTCATCATCGACTGGAGTAACTTCTCCTTCAAGCAGGCCTCCAAGCTGACGCCCAACATCCTGAAGCTGGCCATCGAGGGTCTCCAGGTGGGCTCAGGCTGCTGCGTCGCCGCACGCCGCCGAAGGTCGCCGCTCTGACCGCGTCCCGTTTGTCTCCTCAGGACAGTTTCCCCGCTCGCTTCGGAGGGATCCACTTCGTGAACCAGCCCTGGTACATCCACGCCATGTACACCATCATCAAACCCTTCCTCAAGGACAAGACGCGCAAAAGGGTGAATACCCCCCTCCTCTTCCTCGCTCTGCATACTGGATCCTTATTCATCCATGTTTCATCTCTTTATTCCCGTCCAGCTGCCTTTCCTCCACGTCTCGCCTTTTTCTCACACTTTATCATATTTTCTTTCTCCTCTTTGCTTTTTATTCTCTTCATTTCTCCTCGTTTCTTTCCTTCCCTCCTGTATTTCCTCTTGTTCCAGCTTCCATGTTCCCCGTCCATCCTTCTTTTCTAAAACCTTCCTCTTCTTCTCTGATTCCTCTTGATGATTTCCTCCCCCCCCCTCTGCTCCTCCTGCTGCTCCTGATTCTGGCTCCTCAGATCTTCCTTCACGGGAACAACCTGAACTCTCTCCACCAGCTCATCCAGCCCGAGTGTCTGCCGTCCGAGTTCGGGGGGACGCTGCCGCCGTACGATATGGGGATGTGGGCGCGGACGCTGCTGGGCCCCGAATATAACGACGAGACGGAGTATACGCTGACGTACGACGCTCTGCACGTCAGGGAGAGCTGTGGGGGAGGAGGGGGAGACAAGGACATGATGAAGAGGTGAGGAGACACCAGACGGAGCTCTTTATTCTGGCAACAA